GGGAAGGGCACACTAAATTGGTGCTCTCGGTGTGCTGGAGTCCAGATGGTGGGCAAGTTGCGAGCGGATCCCAGGATGGGACGGCAAGAGTGTGGGATGTGAAGAGCAGTGAACCATTGACAATTCTGCAGGATCTGAATCCAATCAAGTCAGGACATGAGTCGGTGGACACGGTGAGTTACTCACCCAATGCAACAATGATGCAACAGGAGGATTCCAACATGGAATCAATATCTGGTGTGCAGAGACGGGCATGCTGCTCTCAGAAATCCAAGTGGATTGGGCAGTTTGGAGCTTGACCTGGACATTGGACGAAAAGAAGCTTATCTCCGCATTAACCGATGGCTCGATTAGGATATTCGACACTGCCACAGGGCAGGAGATCGCCACTCTGAAGGTCACACAGATCTTGTCTACTCCATCACTTTATTTCCAAATGACCGCCTCCTTGCGAGTACATCATGGGATAAAACAGCGCGGCTCTGGAATCTAGACACAAACCTCCAAGTCGGTTTACCTATCCAACACGAAAACCGTGTCAAATGTGTGGCCTTCTCCGCTGATGGAAAGCTACTATCCACGGGTTGCGCTGATAAAAATGCGCATGTATGGGATGTTCAAGCCATCTTCAAAACAGCTGGCATGGAAGACCTCCTGTCCATACTTGATGTGAGTATTGACATGTCAACCACCGTCTCACTCACAATTCTGATATCATTTGCTGTTAATTAGGCACCAAAAGTTGAACCTAAACAGAAGTTGTACAGATCATCTAGCTCTTCAAGCATAGAGCACATTTCCCCCTCCGATTCGTCGCAAGACATACAAGACAAGTCGTTTTTGGAGGTACGTGGCGTATTTATCAACCTCGTCAATCATGATAACAATGTCGACATTCCAGGCTGATGCTACGCGAGGTTTCGGCCAGTTCGGTGACGCAGGTGAACTCTCACCAGGTTTTTTTGATGATATGCAAGCCGATACTCACGTGTATCATTAATATTTCTGCTAATTAGTTCTAGTCCTGACTATTATCCACTTAGTCCTCCGCAACACCTGGTACCCATATCAAGTTTTCTGCACTACTTGGTCGCTTTGCCTCCCTCCTTCGCCGTTCTCGACCTAATCAAGCGCTCGAAACTCAGCAACCTCTATTGCCTTTGGAGTCACGTTCCTCAATCGCTTATCCTCAATCTTTCGCTCTCCGTCAAATACTGGCACTGATGATATATCCGAACTGATGCTTTCGCGATTAAATCCACAGGTGCTCCTCGGTCATCTGTCCTCACTTTTCCCCGCTCTTGACTTCACGCCGACGAAGCAACCGAACCTCAGTAATCCCAAATGCCTTCGGGGCCACGTCCAGGTGCACCAATAGGTTACCTATCAGCACTCTTCCGCTCTCCACTCAACGTCGATGAAGCAATCGAACTCCAGAATTGCCCTGGGCCAATTATCTCTTTTATTGCAGTCCTCATGTTGTCGATGTTGCTACAATGCGGGACAGGGAGGTGCGTCTTTCTTGCCTGTTGTAATTGCTGGGTCCAATGTTTGCTGTGCAGGTCATATTTGTTGCTCGTCAGCCTGACACTGCTCGTGAAATGGCCAGGCGCATCAAGAACCAAAAACCGTGGGTTCGCGTGGTGTTGTTTATTTGCTGCGTGTCTCCTGGTAACAATGGCAGTCCTGGCACCGACGAGACTCATCACAGCACGTAGTCAATATTTTTATCGAGTGTAGTGTGATGTAGCTTTTGCTACTATATCAACACCAGTTAATATTCATTCATGATTCCATACTAAGTCGCTAACCCGTCTGTTAAGGGATCGCGCGAACACACCAAACGCCTAGTGCCAAGAAGTGCTAATCAATTTATTGCCGTGCTCATGTTCCCCGCTCTATCTGTCATCTCCCAAAGTTCACGACGCTCGAAACATATGCAGGCAGATGTCGCTCGCATTCGTCATCAGATTTGCCTAACTCGTCTTAAATGGCTACCTTGCGGTTGACATCTCTACAATCACAGCAACCAACCAGGCTTAGGTTGTATTTGGATTGTTAGAGTAACGACATATCAGGATTTAGAATGTGTTTCAGTTAACATCGCGATTAGGATCTGTAGGTGTATCTCTACGAATTTCCTTCGTCGGCTCAGTGAACCCTGAACATATTTCATCACGAAGTTCCTTTCTATGGTAATACCTGGCGATCCACAGTAATTACCGTGTAACATCAGTGGATTGGATTGTGTTACAGAGTGCTACAGAGTGCTCTGTAGCACTCTGTAGTGAATTACATTTCCCTGATGAAGTCAGCTGTACAAGTTTGTCGTATACTAATAATCTATCATAAGTACCAGGCGAAGAAAAATATCAATGCACGATAACAAGAGATATCATCCACCATACAAAATATGACAGTTTCACACCCGGGACTGAAATGACCCTGCAGCTTCAATGAGGCGTTCCCATGTGCGCATGTCAGGTGGTCAATTCCAGAAATAATGGGGAGTCAGCATACGTCTGTAATTTTCTGCCCTTCGGATAAAACAACCAGGCAAGACCGAAGACCCTTCAAACGCCACAGCCGTTGGAGCCAAGTGAGGACATACCGATTCTAGAAAGACTTGAACATACGATCAAGCGCATTGTTCCATGGTTTCTGAGCTCGCAAGATATGGTGTGCTTCGTATTCTTGATGATGGCTGTCAAAGGGGTATCAGTCACAGTCGACGCATCGCTACCCTCGTAGAAGCAAGCATTCTGAACCCGATATTTGTTTCCACGATTTGTTGAGCAGCCTGCGAATGAGAATATAAGAAGCGCATTTCTTTTAAATGGAGCATTCACGCACCTTGCCTCGGACTTCATTTCCATCTCTGTGTCGAGGTATCGTATCACATCCGCCTCCGTGTTTTTTCATCACGCTCTTGACTTTCTGCCCACCAACGACACATCCTCTTGGACTTTGTGAAAACAATATATCTCCGGTGTCCTCTACTCGGGAGATTTGTCTGCGTAGCAAATACCATTGACTGTGGATATAAATAGAACACACCTTTGTAGAAAATTACAATGGATGTTTGGGTGCAGCTAGGACGTTCGTGAACAAATCTTCGTTGAAACAAATATGTTAAGGTGCGTTACGACACAAGGGATGGGACTAGGGAGCAATGGTAAACATTCAGTTAGAAGCACGTAGCACGTAACATTCTCCAGCCCTAATCGTCGATCGTCCAAGAAAAGACGGCGGGCGGTAGGCCTCGTAAATCTCTACACGGGAAATAGCTTTGAATATGTTGAAAGGCGGGAAGAGCGGCATGTATTGGTCTAAAGGGAGTAGTGAAGTGTGAAAAAGAAAGAGCTCAGTGATGTTCTGCGATGGCAGACATGGGGCAAGCACAAATGCTCGCCCGGAGAATCTGATGCTCGTCGTTACATGATTAACATTTACTTATCCGACAGCTGGAAGAAACCGCGTATGCGGAGAGCGGAGATGAATCGGATCATCAAGGATCCAAGGGAAAAACAGGTGCGAAGGGACGCACGTGGCTAAGTCGTGGCCCGGGGCGATTCGTTTGTGATGAGAACACGAGGATAACGCGGAATATGCACATCAGTAGAAGACATCAACAAATACTTGTGCAGATCTCTCGCCCCAAAATTAAATGCCCGCTGCAAGTCCATTGTCTTAACTACCAGCCCTCCATCTCGATCTTGCGTAGATTGAGTCCGTGTCTAGTTGTTCTAAGTGGGGCTTGTTGTAAGTTACATTCTGGGTGAAAAAGGAATACGTGCTGAATGGTATCAAGGATCCTCGTAGAGGCTTCTTGCAAACTTTGGAGAACCAGTATCGAAAACCTGCTGCGGACGACGTCCCGAAGTCTGTCTCTGTGTCCAACCCTCTCGTGAGGAATGCCTTATGCACGTCAATTAACACTCACTCAGGAGAAATCATATAGACTTATTGGCTCACCGACGATCTTGTTGCCTGAAAGACAACGACAAGCTGCTTGAAGACCCCAACAAGTTGCTTTCGCACGTATAGTCCAAATTGTCCTTAGTTGATAACCCCCGTGCGCCGACCATGTCTTCCACGGCTGCTAAGATCAAAAGGGCATCGATGATAAGAACACAAAAGACAATGCGAGGCCATACAAAGCTGGTCCGAGGCGTTGCGCACCTGCCCGGTGGGCAGAGCATCATCACATGTTCGAGAGATGGCTCACTTCGATTATGGGACCTAGAGAACTGTACACAAATAGGCGAAGATTGGCGGGATGAGGGGGATGAAATAGGAGTATGGAGCATGGCATTGTCTCCAAACGGCAGCACTATTGCCAGCAGCTATCTTGACGGGACAGTGAGGTTGTGGGACGTTGAGACAAGGAAGGTCATCACGAAATGGAAAGAGCCCAGTGAAGATGTCAACTCGGTATGCTGGAGTCCAGATGGTGTGCAGGTTGTGATTGGATCCGCGGATGGGACGGCAAGAGTGTGGGATATTGAGAGTGGCAAACCATTGATAGTCCAGGGTTTGAATCCAATCCAAACGGGACACGAGTCGGTATACGTGGTGAGCTACTCACCCAAGGCAACAAAGATCGCGACAGGAGGATACAACAAAGATGGAATCGAAATCTGGGATGCAAAAACGGGCAAGCTGCTCTCAACAGTCAAACACGAATACGCGGTTTGGAGCTTGGCCTGGACCTCGGATGAAAATAAGCTTATATCCGGCTCAGGGAATGGCTCGCTTAGGATATTTGACACTGCCACATGGCACGAGATCGCCGTTCTGGAGGGTCACCAACAGGTTGTTGAGGCCATCACTTTATTTCGCAATGACCGCCTTCTTGCGAGTGCATCATGGGACAGAACAGCACGTCTCTGGAATTTGGACACTAACCTCTCTATCGGTCTACCCCTCAAGCACGAACAGGACGTCGAGTATGCAGCCTTTTCTGCCGATGGAAAGATGCTATCCACGGCTTGCGCTGATGAAAACGCGTACGTGTGGAACATTCACGCCATTCTCAAAGCCGCTGGCCTAGAAAACCTCCTGTCCATACCTGTGAGTGCCAACTTTACTCCAACTCGCTATCTCATTCACGATGGTTTAGGCACAACAATCTGGACTCAAAAGGGAGGTGTGTATCTCAAGGCTTTTCAAAAATACAGTATGCTAATATTCCATCAGCAGAAGTCGTTCTCGGATGTACTAGTACGTTTGCCTTTCTTGATCTTAACATTGATTGTGACATCAATGTTCTAGGCTGATGCTACACGACATCCAGCCCCCTTTCAACTACCAGACTTACTTGATGACTTGCAGGACTGTGATCCTGTATGTAACCACTATCTCAATTTGCTGGTTCATGTAGTAACTTATACGCCCAGTTCCCCGCTAGCAGCATTCTCCATCCTCATCCCCTTGTGCATCGCCGCCGCAGTGCTTTTGCACCCTTCCGGGAGTCGAGTCCACGTACGCTTCAAGTCCGCCTTCCACCACTCTTCCATCCCTTACAGCTCGATGCTGACGAACCAATCGAACTCCAACAACGCCCAGGGCTTAGTACTTCCTCTATTCACAGTTCTCATGTTGTAGAAGTTGCTGCGCAACAAGACAACCAGGTATGTCTTGTTTACGGCGAGTTGCCGATGGCTAGTGTCTGAAGATGTCTGTGCAGGTGTTACACATCGCTCAGCAGCCGGAACAAGCTAGCAACAAGACGAAATATATCAAGAACTGTACATGGTGGGATCGTTTCGTAGTGTTCCTCTTTTGTGCGTCCCATTCGCCCGTTGATGGTCCAAGTGCATAGTGAGTAGTACATAGGCAATAATTTTCATTCCATTCGTTTTCTTGTCTTGTAGTGTCTTTCGATATTTCATTAATAACATCTGTTGACATCTCTCATCTTAACTCGTGCGTCAAAAAATAGCATTATGTGCTGGATATTTCATCCACATTCTCGAGCGCTACACTGAGTCCAGGCTCCTACCTACCTCTGCTTTGAGGGTGAAGGCGGACTACTGCTACTATCCCTTCCACTGCAATCGGCACCCCACAGAAGTCGGCACTTTCACAAAACTCGTATTTCTAGCTACTTCAACACAAAATTCTCAACATATTTATTATTCTCTCGCTAATACAACTAATTACGAGGTCGAACGACCATGATTGAAGAAGAATTGAATGAGATAGTTGAATGTGCCGAAGTCACGCAGAAATGTCACCTGCTGATATGTGCCGTGATGGAGTTTCAAACTGCATACACCAACTTTGGAAGTGCCGACTGGTGTTGGGTGCAGTGCATTCGCAGATCTAGCGGCGGTAGACGAGGAAAGCTGCGAGCTTTGTCAGACACTAGTATCATGCCAGACACTGAGTAATCGACGTTTGGGAGTGCAGGAGCCTCGTCGGCATGCCCACGAGAGTCAGCAATTATTATCTGCTGCACAGGAGGAAACTGTTGCTGACTGGTGCAGCATCCATACAATATTAATGTACATGGTCTTCCTACACATCCACTCAATTTTATAACTACAGTTGCCCTCATACTTAGATATATCTACTAGTTAATACTCGTTCAAATATTTGAATATTCACGCCGAATTCTTGCTTGACTGCCGGTCTTTGAAATCGGCCTATGTGACATGTCGTGACTTATAGTGACATTTGCGTGACTGCCGACTTCTGTGGGGTGCCGATCTATAAAGTAGGATGCGACGGGTGGGAATCGTCTCGCCAGCTCGCGTGGCTTTCGCATAGATGCGCTTAGGAACGCTTAGGAACGCTTAGGAGCGCTTAGACGCGCTTAGGGATGCTTAGATTCGCTTAAGAACGCTTAAGAACGCTTAGCTCGCTTAAACCTCTTTTTGGGAATCTCGCGTGGCTTTCTCGCGTGGCCCGGTCACGGGTTTTCGAGCTCCGACTTAACACTGTTGCCCGTTCGAGTGCAGCACATGTCAATAAATAATTGATGAAAAATTGAATGAGAGCACAGGGGAATGGGGGAATGGGCCAAAGGTGTGAGTGGAGCGAGCACTTTTGGTCTGTTCCCCCATTCCCCTGTGCTCTCATTCAATTTTTCATCAATTATTTATTGCACATGCTAGGATGCAGCCAAGGCCAGGAAGCCAAAGGCACAACGGGTGTGAAGCTAGTCTATAAAGTAGGATGTGATGGGTGGGAATCGTCTTGCCAGCTCGCGTGGCTTTGCATAGATATGCTTAGATACGCTTAGATGCGCTTAGGAATGCTTAGCTCACTTAAACCTCTTTTTGGGAATCTTGCATGGCTTTCTCGCGTGGCCTGGTCACGGGTTTTCGAGCTCTGACTTGATACAGTTGCCCGTTCGAGTGCAGCACATGTCAATAAATAATTGATGAAAAATTGAATGAGAGAACAGGGGAATGGGGGAATGGGCCAAAGGTGTGAGCGCTCAGTGGAGCGAGCACTTTTGGTCTGTTCCTCCATTCCCCTGTTCTCTCATTCAATTTTTCATCAATTATTTATTGCACATGCTAGGATGCAGCCAAGGCCAGGAAGCCAAAAAGGAGCGCGAAGCGCTCTGTTTGCTTCCTATGCTGAAGGCACAATGGGTGTGAAGCTAGTAGTACTATAGTATTAGGATTTTGAGTGATCACGTGGTACAAACAATTTTTCAAACCCAGCACAACTTTAATCCTTCACCCTCTCAGCAGCAGCTGGCAGATAACATTTGTAAACACTGCCAGCCACAGCAGCACATCACTGCCGATGACATGTGGACACTTAAAAATACTGTAGTTGGAATGGCAATAAAGTTAATTATTTTAGCCTATGCCTTGCACATGTCCAAACAACCTTCCAAAACCCCTAGTTTCAGCGAGATACAACAGGTCACACAAGAGTGTTTTGGCAAATGGCCATGTCTTTGGCAGATGAAAGTTGCCAAGGCATTCATCCAGAAAGACCGGGACATAGTGTGCATCACCAGCATGTCATTGGGGAAGACCATGACCTTCTGGATGCCACTACTCTTGAAACCTGGGATTCAAATTGTTGTTACACCATTAAATCAACTCAAACAGAATGTAGACTCACTTGTGAAGGCCAGCATGTGAAGCATATCCATTTCAGCAGAGACAGCAACCTTGTCTAATTTTCACATGAGTCCCTTC